AATAAGCCACCTCAATCAAAGGCCAGATAACCTAGAACTCGCAATAATAATTACTTAATATGGTCATAATTTCACCTTAGTCTTATATTGTGCTCTATTGTTCTGAACGGCTGTCTGTCTCACAGAATAAGCGAGAGAGTATTGCTAAACGTACAGTTGTGTACAAGTACAAACACAAATTGTTGCTGTGTTGGTATAATTTCCATCTGATCCACTTCCTGCAAGGAAGGTAAGGCAGGTCTTATTCCAGGTTTATAGAGGAGGGATTAGCTCAAGAGGGCTAACTACTTTGTCAGGATGTGATGATGGCTACCTGACGGGTCGGTGGGGATAGATTATGACAACACAGAGGCGACGATGCCTGATCTAGCAGCAGCTCAGCTCATCAGAGAACCTTTTCAAGAAGGGGTGGGAGTTGGGGGGCGAGTGAAGGGAAAGGTCTTTGCAGGCAAATAGAGAAGCACAGAGTAGTTCCGAAGAAAGATCAGGAGGGAAGAATGGGTATCTATTAGTTGGGAGGGGACTCGAGGCCAGACTGAATCCTGGATTTCCTATTGGGTAGCCCTCAGCTTTCCAGAAGATGAAGTGGATCAGGGCGCCTCGTCCCTATGCCCTCCCTCTCGTCTGCCTTTGTCCTTTTGCTGCAGTGGACAGAAGCTCCCTCCTTATACCGTTGCCCTTGGGAGATGAAGCCTCGCTCCCATCTTCCCTCTGTGTGAGACCCATCCAGGCCCCTTGAAGGTGTACTTTCTGTGAAAATGGTGAAAAAAGGAGAAAGGGAGACAGAACTCAAGTTCCTGAGAACTGAGAGCTTCTGAGATTGAAGGTGCATTGATTCTCGTGTGACTGAAGTCCTCATAGGGTCACTCAGTGGCCTCCCTCATGATGCCATTTGAATTCACACTCAGAAACTCTTGTGCGTGGAGAGACATAAAATGGGGGCTCCCCTGCCGATTAGCCACTGGTGTAGCACTACAGAAAAACTGCATCTGGTTTTCACCGACAGGCCCTTTTAGGGAGAATTTCTCATTTTAGGAGAAATTCCACTGAAAGCAAGCCCATCAGCCTTCCAGAATGACGATGGGACCCACAAGGGCTCTTTTGTGGGTACATGTGACACGCCAACGGGAGATGATCTGTCATGTCTATATAGGGTAGTGCTCTAACCTGGACCGGAGGCCCTCCCCTCCCCTCTCCCAGCTCCATATTTAGCCATCTGCTGAAGGCTACGCGTGACATCGAGGTTTATCATTTTCTTTACTGCTACGGAACAACACAGAAATTTAGGTTCTTGTATTCACTGAGGTAGGTAATGAAGGTTTCTCCTTTGGCCTCGGTTTTAATAGACTGCAGAGAAAGCTAATCTTGTCTCACCACTTTACAATTTGGGAAACTGAGGCCCTGAGAGCGGATTTGATGTGTCTCTTAGTGCTAGAGCTGGCTGGGAATGAAGGTCATTGACTTTTGGCAGGTTGGTAGGTGGCAAGGCTCAAATAGGAATTTCTCTGTTCACATCATATTTTTGTTTTCATGCTACAAGAAGGAATCCCCCCTTTTTGGGCCCTCATGGCTTGGTGTAAGATATACAGGGCAGTCTTGGGCAGAGAAACCTCTATAGTGCTACTTTTAATTCCCCACTTATAATTAATCATTGTTTAGCATTGTGTTTAGTAATTATTCTCTAACAATGGTGTTAATATTAAGGACTACTTACTGTATGCTTGCTATGTGTTCACTATGTACATATAGTGTGTTTACATTATGCCCTATGCTAGGGATTTCATACATCTAAGCATACTTAATAGTCTCAGCAACCCAGTGATGTAGATGTTATTACACTGATTTACAGAGGAGGAAACAGAGACTTAGGGAGGTTAAGAAACTCTGTTAAGGTTGTTGCATAGGTGGTTGGTTGGGAGCTAGGATTCGATTCCAGATCCACCCAAATTTAAAGTTGGTGTTCTTGCCCCGTTCTTGCCTCACCGTCTTCTTGTTGCAGGGACTTACTCAGGAAATTTGGCTTTTACTCACTCAATCTATTAGAAAGATTTTATTTAATAACCAAAAGCCTGACACATGCACATTTTTTCCTAGTTCCAGTCCTGCTCCACTGGCATCAAAATAAAACTCAAAAATGTCCTAAAAGGTCTTGGCTCTGAACCAAGTAATGAGGGGGTCACAAACGCACATATTTAAGTCATCTGAGGCCTAAAGGGCTACAGTCTGAGACCTGACAGAGCCCCCCAAGGAGACCTTGCTCAAAGGTCTGGTAACAAAGAGGTAGGTATCCAGGACCATGGTGCATGAAAGTGACCCATTGTGAGTCTTAAGACAGAGTCTACCCAAACATTTGACATCCCAACCCCCGTGCCATGGACATTCAATATAGGGCATTTTATTTTTTTATTTTAAATTTTTAAATTTTTAAATTTTTTTTTTTTTAAGATTTTATTTATTTGAGAGAGAGAGAATGAGAGACAGAGAGCATGAGAGAAAGGAGGGTCAGAGGGAGAAGCAGACTCCCTGCTGAGCAGGGAGCCCGATGTGGGACTCGATCCCGGGACTCCAGGATCATGACCTGAGCCGAAGGCAGTCGCTTAACCAACTGAGCCACCCAGGCACCCCTATTTTTTTATTTTAATTTTTTTTAGAGAGAGAGTGCACACACACGGGCGAGAAGAGTGGTGGGGGGAGGGGCAGAGGGAGAGGGAGAGAGAGAATCTTAGGCAGGCTCCCTGCTGAGCGGGAGTCCCACTAGGGGCTCCATCCCAGGACCCTGAGGTCACGACCTGAACCGAAATCAAAAGTCTGATGCTTAACTGACTGAGCCACCCAGGCGCCTCAATATTTGGCATTTTAAATAAATAGTAGTGGAAATACATAACATAATGGTTCCCTATAGGTCCCATGTGCCAGGTTCTGTGCTAAGACAGACTCTCCACATGCTGAATACTTACAATAATTGCATGAAGAGGTACTTTTCTTATTCTCATTTTTATGAAGAAACCAGGACTCCCAGAGGTTAAGTAACTTGGCCAAGATCACCCAGCTCACATGTCGTTAAAAAATGAATATGTGAAAATCATGTGAATTATGCATTTGATTAACTCATTTGCAAAGGCTATTATGTCATTAAACAGAGACTATGGGTTGATAAGAATAAAGATTTCTTGGAAGGGAATGGCAGGATTTAGAGGAGTTATTTTTTAAAAATTATGTTTTGAGGCGTGCCTGGGTGGCTCAGTCAGTTAAGCGGCCAGCTCTTGGTTTCAGCTCAAGTCATGATCTCAGGGTCCTGGGATCGAGCCCTGCATGGGGCTCTGAGCTCAGCGGGGAGTCTACTTGAGGATTCTCTCTCTCTCCTTCTCCCTCCGCCCCTACCTCCCCCCTCTAAAATAAATAAATAAATCTTTTTAAAAAATTATGTTTTGAGGCAGACCTATACATTGCTTTACATGTGACAAGTCAGGAATATCGTCAGTGGGGAAGCTTTATAAGCCCAGATTGTCTTAATAACCTTTATTCTGAATTTTGGTCTGAAAGACCTTTCCTTTATCTGAAGCTGGCTGGCCTGCATGACGTCCCTCGGCAGACAGGACACTGTCTCCAAGGCTGATCTCATCGTCTGGAGCTCTCACACCTGCAGGGAATGAGAATTTATTTGACCCTTCCACGAAATGCAGATGCTGTCATATTTATGCTGCCCTGTTTAAGTGGCAGGCACTGAATAATTCAGGGTTGCTTTTAAGCAAGTTATTTTGTATCACCAGGGCCCCGCAGAATTCCTGATACATAGGTAGCTGTTGTGAAATGTTGGGGAAAAAGAGCTAATTTACTCCCCACAACATCTCTGAGAAGCCGTTCCTCAGTTCGTGGCATTCTTGCAGATGTGTACACTGAGGCTTGGAGATGAAATCATGTGCTCAAAGCGAGGTCATCGTATCAGTTATGGAGCTTGATTTCAGGTGCAGAAAATGCAAAGGACGGTGCCGTTTCTATTACATCTGTAGCCAGTTTTGGGCAAAACCTCAAGAGAAAAACCACAGCAAATTTTTAGAGTTCTGGTGATTTCTTTTCTCTGACCTCAGCATGAATTCCCACATAAGCCGAGGACTGGCTGATTGATCAATACATGAAGGGATGTGCATATATGGTCACTCTAATTTATCCTTCTCTTTCTTGCAGTTCCCAAAGCAGCTGGGATCCATTGGAACCTGAAGCTGCTGTCTGTGTCTTCCCCACCTCAGTGGAGCCGAAGGCAACAGAGAGCTGTTTGAGAGTGAGCATTCAACCCATCAGGTTGCTATTGAGGTCTTTTTCATGTTGATATCAGAGCAGTTGCTGGTGTTTTTATCACTAGGCTGATTTAGAGATAAAACCAGCTTCTGCTTCATGACTGGGTGGGGTTGTGGGCTCTGGGCTGGGGTATGTGCACAGCTTTCCTTACCAAAGGGGAGAGTGATTGGACAGTGGGTTGGACAGCTACACCGAGGAGAGCCCCGTGTTTAATCAGCGTGCCAATGAGGAAGCTCCCCATCTTTAAAAAGGGAAAGGAGCGCCTGGGTGGCTCAGTTGGCTGAGCATCCGACTCTTGATTTTGGCTCGGGTCATGATCTCAGGGTCGTGGGATCGAACTCCGCTTCAGGCTCGTGCTGAGCATGGTTCCTGCTTGGGATTCTCTCTCCTCCTCTGCTCCTCCCCGCTGCCCCCACTTGCAAGAGCTCTCTCTATAAAAAAAAAAAAAAAAAAAGGAAAAAGAAAGACTCAATCTCCGCCCCTTCCCCCCCCTTTCTTTCTGTTGCAGTTGAAGACTGGCTTTTGGAGGTTTTCAATGTAGATCGTGTGTCTCCCTCAGATGGACTGGGAGAATTGCTGTCCGGGGCCCTGAGAACACAACCTTCTCCGGGTTTCATTCCTTGCGGTGAATGGCCTTGGCCTCAGCAGCCCACTGAGGGCCCCTTCACTTGGGATTCTGAACTTGTAACCAGGACTCCAGGCTGGGAAGATGCTGAGTTCCATCAAGTGTGTGTTGGTGGGAGATTCAGCTGTGGGGAAAACCTCTCTGCTGGTGCGCTTCACTTCAGAGACCTTCCCTGAGGCCTACAAGCCCACGGTGTATGAGAACACAGGTGTGGACGTCTTCATGGATGGCATCCAGATCAGCCTGGGCCTCTGGGACACAGCAGGTAATGACGCCTTCCGAAGTATCCGCCCCCTGTCCTACCAGCAGGCCGACGTGGTGCTGATGTGCTACTCTGTGGCCAACCATAACTCTTTCCTGAACCTGAAGAACAAGTGGATTGCCGAAATCAGGAGCAACTTGCCCTGCACCCCCGTGCTGGTGGTGGCCACCCAGACGGACCAGCGGGAGATGGGAACCCACAGGGCCTCCTGCATCAGTGCCATGGAAGGGAAAAAACTGGCCCAGGAAGTGAGAGCAAAGGGCTATCTGGAGTGCTCGGCCCTCAGCAACAGGGGGGTTCAGCAGGTGTTTGAGTGTGCTGTCCGGACTGCTGTCAACCAAGCCAGGAGACGCAACAGAAGGAGGTTCTTCTCCATTAACGAGTGCAAGATTTTCTAGCCTCCCAGAGACTCCGCCCACACTCCTTTGCTCCCCGCAAAGACTCACGGGGACAGGGAGAGTAGGCAAGCCAGCAAGGACTGATGCTCTTTCTAGGAATGTCCGTCACAGCACTTGCCTTAGGATACCATCGCTGATGAGGCTTGGCCACTGGCTTGTTTTTATGAAATACACTCTACAAATGAAAACCTCTTGCCCAGTCCGATTAGAAGGTTCTATAATGAAGATTTCCTTCTTTGATTAAAAAAAAACAAAGTAGTCTCCATCATTTTGGACAATGAAGTGAGTTTTTCCAAGAATTCCATATTTAAAGACAGGTTTTATTTAAATGATAACACAATGTCTAGCTCTTGTAATATAATTAGTTTTTACATTTGGAAAGTCTTTCCCTACATGGTCCCAAACACAAACTGCTGTATGAGTGACATAACCCTCTGGGGGCTCTGCCAAAGCCTTGTAGTGTTTTCCCCCATGTAGTGATTTTGTGGAGACCACTTGCCCGCTAGATATTCCTAGGTAATCAAATTTTAAAATGACCATGGCCGGATCCTTGCAATTACTTTTCCATCCACCTGTTATTCAGAGTTGTATATAAAATACAGTTCAATAACATAAGATTCTTTAATGCTGCCTAATTAAAAATTTAAATTTTAAACAGTTGTCACTAGATTTCTCTATAATTATATATATGTTTTTTTTAAAAAAGCGTTTCTTATTTATGATCTTACCTTTTACCCAAAGAAGTCTAATTGTGCACTAAGCATTCCTCCCTCATTCACCAAAATAGACAGAAGGGAAACCTTCCAGGTAGGGAATCAGAACGGAATGGAAGTGAGGAAGTCTCACTTTCATTTCAGGAGCACTTTGCCTGCTTCTTCCAACACCGTGATTCCTAGCTGGTTGTAGATCTTCTGAAGAAGAGCAGGCTCAAATTTCTGTGTGATGGTAAATTAGCAAATTTGCTATTTGAGTGCTAAACTGAGTTGGCATGGTAACATAAGTTATTAATGTTAGGATCCAATCCAAATCGCCGGGAAGGCGTCTACCTATATACGTGTGTGTGTAAGGGAAAAAAAGGTGGGAACTTATCATTTTTACTATTTCATGAATATGAAACACCTGAGTGAAAAAAAATCCACAAATTCCAAGCACAGGGAACAGGCAAACTGTATAGCAATTGTTCAGATAATAAAAAGCTATCAAGAGAAATACTGAATACAGAAGGATGCATCTCTCCCTCCTCCAACCCCGTTATATCTAATAGCTTAAAAGGAATGATATTGCTCAGCTGTTAAAGTTGAGAATAGAGGACTATATAACTGGAGGGAGAAATTGTGAAGGTGGGCACCCACGTATATCATTTGCTCACCTAATTGAATAAAACTTAGAACTACTCTGAACCACATTTGTTGAAGTACATCATCGTTTTAGCTCAACAAGACCATCGCATACAAATGGTCAGAGAGTGGGCATGAATGACTGCATAACTTATGTTGACATGACCAACCCGATTTTTTAGTTTCCTTATGTGCTCAGTCCTTTACAGCTATAATCAGTGTCAAGATCAGATTTGTGCTCATCCCCAGACTCCTTTCTCCTTCTCCTCTTCTCTCATTCACATCCAGGGAAAGGCCCTGGACCTGGATCTTAGTCCCTGGGGGCCGGGGTTCTCTTAGTTTAGTTCCCTGGGACTGACATCTCTGCCTTCACCCAGACATCTCCAGTCCTCCCGTCCTGTGACTTGTCCTCACCTCTGTGTCACCCGTGTGCCTGGCTTGAGAGTGGCTATATCCAGCTCTCTTCACTGCACATCCAGAGGGTTGGAGGGCTTGAAAGCCGACCAGGCAGGGGAAGCTAGGATAGCTCATCTCCTCTGATTTCCCTGTTGATCCCGATCCTCTCCTCCAACAAAGAACAGTCTTAAATCACTCAGGTAGGTTTTCCTTCAGGGGCCAGTCTTTAGGGTGGAAGGGTATTTAACATGTTAGCAGGAATGAATTTCTACTTACTGAAATTGGCTGTCCCCAGGCTTTTCATTCTTTCTTGCTGAAGGGAGATGGGAGAGGGGGATTGTCTGAACGTGGGAGAGCCCAGGTACCTGATCCTAAGTGAGGGAAGAGGGGAAGGAGGATCCTCCTTCCATGGTGGAAGAGGAGGAGGAAGGGCAAGCTGTCGAGGGCCCAGTCAAACGGCTTTGCCTTCGCCCGGGCAGACACACAGAGAAACACTCTGCCTGTTGGCAGGAACAAAGCTTAAAGGCTCCCCCTGGGTACCCTCACACCCGTGAGAACAGGAATCCATGTATATAAGTCCTCCCCAAGGGCCTGGCAGAAACTGAGGCCAACTGGTGTCTGTCCCCCTTGCTAGATCCTGGGTTCTTGAAGGCAGAGCCACCTCATATGCATCTTAGTGTCCCCAGAGCCCGGCACAGGGAAGGAACCATAGCTCAACAAAGTTGTGTTGAACTGACTCGGAAAGAGAGGGAGGATTTGGGCTGCTAGGCCGCGAGGTGGCTATGAGAAGGAAGCAGACCCCTCCCAGCCTTGCCGGGTAGGAAGTGAAGTCATTTTGCTGGAGTCCACGCAGTGTATGTTCTACACGAGTGTATATGTGTTTTGCCTGCCTAGGTCCGGGCATCTGTTTCTTGTACTTCAAACTCACTGTACCGTGTTGTAGACTATTATATGCATAGCCTTAACTATTCCAAGTGGCAGTGTTAAATATGCTCGTTTACGTTAAAGAATGAATGAGTGCTTGAGTAATTCATCCTATTTGGTTTTACTTTATACTATCTAAACGGGGCAGCAGAGGGGCATCTGGGTGACTCCTCTGGTCGAGTGTCTGACTCTTGATTTCGGCTCAGGTCATGATCTTGGGGTCGTGAGATCAAGCCCTGCATTGGGCTCCACCTGCTGAGGGTGGAGCCTGCTTAAGACTCTCTCTCTCTCCCCTTCTCTCTCTGCCCCTTCCCCCACTCATGCTCTCTCAATGAATAAATACATACATACATAAAATACATCCATACATACATGCATACATACAGCAGAATCAAGTGTGATGAAATTAGGCTGAGCAATAAGAAAGCCAAAAGCATCCTAAGGTTCAAGTTCACTGAGCGCTTCGGATGTGCCAGGCTCTATGCTAAGCACTTGAGTGTGCGTTATCATATGGTGTATAGGTGGCCACGCTAATAAGTACCATCTTACATGAGGAAACTGAGGCTCGGCGTGTTGATGTGACAAGGTTGAGGCCAGGGAGCAGGTGAGTGACAGCACCAGGAGTCTTAAGCAGGTCTGTATAACTACAAAGCTCTGCTCAAAACCACTGCACCCCACTTCCTCCCAGAGCAGCCTGATTGTATGTATGGCTTTGCCACATCCCATCTCATGTACCCTTGTAGACCCCACCCCCACCAGTCAGGGGGCTTATGTTTTAAACGTCATTTTTAATAAAATATTCCAATCTGATCTTAGTCCTCCCTTTTTATTTTTCTTTCTGGTAATGAAAGCAAGATCCTCCTTATTAACAGAGCACCATCATTTGCAAAAAGTCCCTGCTCTAAGCCCTAACCCTTGGCTTTTAAGTGTAATTTCACAAGTTGATTGTATGTGAAATGGCAGAGATGAAATACATTATGATATGATGCTATAAAAGCTTGAAAAATATTCTCTTTTTCTTATCTCACTTTTCCATCCCTCGGGCTTCACATATTTCCTCTGAATGAGGGAGTGACAGGGGAGAGAAGAACCTGGCTCTTTCCTTTTAAAGATTTGGTAGCAAGGAAGGGCATTGACCCAGCATGAGATCTGTAGGGTTATGATAGGCAGGGGATGGGGCATCTGTGAGTGTTCATCCCCAATGCAGAGAAGGCAATCATGTGAACTGAGTCGGATCAGAACAGTTCAAGGGTAGGGCTTTATTTTTGCTCAAGTTGTATCTCTTCTGTTAAAGCAAAACATAATCATTGGCCAAGATCTTGAGCAGTTTTTCACCAGAAAAGATAAAATGAACCCTAGAATTTAACTTGTGATATAAGTTCATAAAGAGTACTTGATTCAACCTAAAGTTCACATTAACTTTTTTGGTTGATTCTAAAATATATCCTGACACAGAACTTAATACTTAATGGTGGCTAAAGAGCCATCAGGAAGGAGTAAGAGGCTAGATGATTGTGGTTTATTTTGGAGTCAGAAAGTCTGGGTCCTGTGTCTTTCAGCCTCCGTCTCCCTGTCTTAAAAAAGGTACTTATTCCTGGGTGATTCTAAGAATTAGTACAATACTGACTGTGGAAGTGCTTTATGTTTGTATACTATTGTTCAAATGTTTTTTGTCATTATGTTTTTGTGTGTCATTATGTTTTTGGCAGATTCCTATGCAGAAAGGAAGAGCGTGTTGATTAACTTGAATAAGCAAAAGAATAGTTTTGGGATAGCGATGTTCAAGAATTGTGTGTCTTTTAATGACATATTTATATTTAAGAAGCCCTGCTCTTATCCATAATATATTTTAAAAAACTATGAATCAATAAGAAAAAACAGCCTAATCTAAAAATGGACATGTGTCAGAAGAGGAAATATGCATGGCCTGACAATAAATAATAGAAAAGGCACTCAATTTCATGAGTAGTCAGGGAAATGAAAACAAAATCCACATTGAGATATCATTTTCACACCACTATATTGGCAAATAATTAAAAAGTATCACTATCAAGGCTTGGCAAGGATATGAAACAATTGAAAGTCTTATATGATGTTCTTGGGAGTGTCAATTGGTATAATATTTGGCAACACTTAGTAGTGTTGCTTAGCCTATATCCTTGACCCAGAAATTCCATGCCCTCGAAATACACTTGCATAGATTTCCTGGGAAGCATGTATGAGAATGTTTTTAGCATCATTGTAGGTAATAACAAAAACTAGAAACAACCCAATGTCATCAACAGAAAGTGGCTAAATAAATTTTGGTATGGGCACTTGGGTGACTCAGTCGGTTAAGCGTCTGCCTTCGGCTCAGGTCATGATCCCAGGGTCCTGGCCTTGCTCAGTGGAGAGTCTGCTTTTCCCTCTCCCTCTATTCCTCCCCACAACTTATGCTCTCTCTCTTAAAAATAAATAAATAAAATCTTTAAAAAAAAATGTTGGCATATCCCATTGGATGGGTGGTGGGTGGATGGGTGAGCAGTGCTATAAAGAAAATAAGTTAGGAAAAGGGAGAGAGAATATTCAGTAGTTCATTTTTTTTAACTTTTAAGAAGAAGCCTAGATGGTGTAGACATACAGCATCATTTAAAAATAAACCGCGCCTCTGAAAAAGAAAGCAGGCTTAACCTTTTCTCTGCCGTCCTGGAGAGAGGGACGCACATGCTTTACACAATGATCAGTGTTCAGTACCCAGTTCCCTTTAGAAGCGACTGACTTCACGGGGGATTCCAGCCCCTCTGCCTGTTGGGTTAGGACTGTTCCATGGGCTGGATGGGCAAACAGGCTGGCGCAGAAAGTGACCTCATTTACAGCAGCAGGGTAGGGCTGGGGCTGACACAGGCAAGTGGTTTCCCCCCTGATTCTGAAAACAAGGAAGGAAATGACTAGAAGGCAGGGTCAAATAGGACTCAGAGTAGAGCCTAGAACTTGCCTGCTGGGCCCCACGGAGCGGTTCCAGGAATCTGCGTGGGGCCGGCTGCATGGGCCTGAGAGGCAGCAAGAGTCCTGAGCCTGGGGGCCCATCTGCTGACACCTTTGGCCATGCTGGCCCTTTTATTTTATTTTTTAAAGATTTTATTTATTTATTTGACAGAGGGAGATAACGAGAGCAGGAACACAAGCAGGGGGAGTGGGAGAGGGAGAAGCAGGCTTCCCGCCGAGCAGGGAGCCCGATGCGGGGCTCGAACCCAGGACCCTGGGATCACGACCTGAGCCGAAGGCAGATGCTTAATGACTGAGCCACGCAGGCGCCCCCGTGCTGGCCCTTTTAGATAGAACATAAGAAGGTGCCTCACCTCTCTGTGGAGCTTTTACACTGAGGGAAACAGGCAAGGGTACAATTGGCAAGCGAGTCACCGGAGTTAACCCAAGGCAGTTGTTGGAGGACATTGCTGTGGGCTCAGGCAACGAGGAGATTTCCTGAGGATTTTGACTGAACGTATTTAAAAAAAAAAGAAAGAAAAGAAAGCTATCAGAAAGCCCCAGTAATCACAGCACAGATGTCCTTCTGAAATCCATCCCTTCTCCTCTTCCTCTTCATCATTTTCTCTCTGCAGCTAGGTACCCCCCCCCCCACCCACCCAAAATCCCTGATTCCTCCGGTGTCTGGGTAGATGCTGAACTCCATTCCTTCCTCACTACCATCATCTCACGTATTCATTCATTCATATGGCTCGTGAAAAATGTCCAAGGCACTTCTCCAGGTCTCACTGTGATAATGGCCAGTATTTACTAAGCGCTCGATGCGTCATCAAGTGCTTCGTGGACGTTGTCTTATGTTGCCTCGAGACAATGCTCATTCTACAGGCAAGGAAGCCAAGGTTTGGGAAGGCTAAGGCCTCACTGACATGCACAAGAATACAGGAGTGAGAGCTGGGGCCCCAGAAGGCGAGGGGATGTGTCTGGGCCGCACACCCAGTTACTGACTGGAAGGGAGGTCTCCATCTCCAAGGCCTGGCTGTCACTGTTGTCCTCCTTATTATCAGAACACATCTAAAAATAAGAATTGGACCCACCAGTGTGTGGTTTTCTGCTGAACACTCATTATGTGAGCTAGACATAGATTATATCTCTGTTCGACAAATGGAAAAGTCTGAAAGAAGGAAATTAACTGTTAATCCAGGCCCCAAACCATATTTGCATTATTTTCTGGATACTGCCCACAAACACATTAATTTTTTTCTCCCCTTCTATTAGTATATGTTTCCATTGAGGGTCTCATATTTAAATCAACAGGGCTGAAACATTTTCTTCTGCTTCTCTATTATTTTTATTATATTATTACAGTTGTTATACTATATAGTATTACTATTTATGTAATATTTATAACATATTATGTTATATGTTATTACTATTCTTATATTACCAGACTCACACATTTGGAGTTAGAATGGAGGTCAGGAAGGATTGAGCCCTACTTCCTCACTTTACAGAGAAGGGGACTGAGTCTCCTGATTGCCCACGACACACAGCTGGTTTTAGGCCGAGGTGGGACTCAGTCTTGGGTGCTCTTCCCTCTTCCCTCAGGCCTCTGGCCTTCCAGCCTCTCTACCTTTGAGCTGTGAACTCTGTGTCTGTTTGTTTCAGGTTGCAATGATGGACGTTTAAAGGTTTGCCCTTTACTTAAAATGTCAGGGGCATTGGCAGGTGATTAAAAAAAAAATGAAAATGTCTGAGACAAAGGCCCCCACATGAAACCAACAACAGTAGAGAAGCAGGAAGACCCAGGACACATGGCCAGACAGCCGCTCTGCCTTGCCTGTTACTAATGAGCTCAACAGCCAGAGCTATGGGCCCAGAACAACTTCGGGCTGAAGGGTCCAGGGGCATCCTGAAGGATGCTCTCCCAACCTTCCACCATATGCTCAGAAGGGAAATCTGTAAGCCAGCCTGGTTGCGACAGGTTAAAGGAATCATAAAGGAAATAAATTCTTTAGATAGACTCTCTATATATCTGTTTCCCCACATTTTAAAAATGTATGCTTACTGTTGAAAAGATTAGAAAAAACAGCCAAGCAAAAAGACAATAATAAAAATCACTCTGATAGGGGCGCCTGGGTGGCTCAGTTGGTTGGGCGACTGCCTTCGGCTCAGGTCATGATCCTGGAGTCCTGGGATCGAGTCCCGCATCGGACTCCCTGCTCAGCAGGGAGCCTGCTTCTCCCTCTGACCCTACCCCATCTCATGTGCTCTCTCTCATTCTCTCTCTCTCAAATAAATAAATAAAAAATCTTAAAAAAAAAATCACTCTGATAATCAGGGTTAGATCATTTTTTTTTTTGTATTTATCCCTCCAGAAATGTCGTACACACATATGTGCATATTTTTACAAAAATAGGATTGCCTGGTATAATCTGATTTCCAATCTGCTTTTTTTTTTTCACTTACTGTATTATGAACAGCTTTCAATGTCAGCATATTAATGAATACACATACTCCTACACCGTTGTATAAAAAGGCAGGGTGGTAACTACCCCAGATTTTCCCAAGGAACCTATAACCGCATGTTTGTTCATCGCATCTATGGCTGTCTATGGAACTTTGTATTGGAAATACGAGGGGGACTGGGGAGAAAGGTAAGGAGAGGGGTGGTGGGGGGGAGAAAACCCCCATCCTGCCACAACAGAGCCTTGGATTCGGCTCTGCTTTGATGCTAACGTCTCTGATTGTCCCTGGTTCGTTCTGAAGTTCAGGGGTAGGGGAGGGAGGAGACCGTGCGAGCTGCCTAGCCTCCAAGCTATGGTACAGCTCTAAGAAGC